ACTCTAAGAGGCCATCTTGCGTGATTAAGTCCATCTTCCCTCGATCTCTCTGATCAACCACAATTTGCCTGTAGCCCGTTTTGAGGTCTCCAAATCCACATCACGACCCCATGACATCTGGTGGAGGTGTTGCATAGCAAAGGCACTGTCATTGTCGCCGTGGTCGACGACATTTTGGTCTAGCTCGCGGCTAACTTGCTGCTCGTGGCTGGCGTCGATGTCTTCTTCGTGGCGTGGGCTGGGTTCAGGGCTCGACGGGGGCGACTGGTACGTGGAAGAAGCAGCACCTCCCCCAAATGTCACAGGATCGTGACGTGAATGAAGGGAGCAGACTGCAGGTCAAATAATAAGCTGTTTATTTGGACTAAACTTGTGACCACGTAAACAGAAAGTCAGATTACAGCTAGACACTAGCACTGATAGCGGCGAGCAGAGCGTCGGCTGTCGATCAACTGACAAACGGTGAAGCGTGTCGGCATTTATACACTTGCTATCGAATATTCTAGCATTACCGCTAGCAGCAACGTAGGTTCCAGAGTAATCTGTTATGTTCACAAAGTGTGCGTAAACTTAACAAAACGATCTACTGCTGTCTCGAAGCTTCTCTAGCAGTGTAGGCATGGTTTGCGCTGAGAATCACTGACAGTAAAACGGGGTGATGACAAAACATGACAAGAAAATGTGGCATTTGGCAGATGTCACCGGGTGGTGACGTGGATGAAGGGAGCAGACTGCAGGTCGAATAATAAGCTGTTTATTTGGACCGAACTTATGGCCACGTAAAAAGAAAGTCAGATTACAGCCAGACACTAGCACTAATAGCGGCGAGCTGAGCGTCGGCTGTGGATCAACTGACAAGTGGTGAAGTGTGTCAGCATTTATACACTTGCCATCGAATATTCTAGCGTTATCGCTAGAGGCGACGTACGACGGTAAAATGGGCCAGTTGGTTAGGATCCATCGTGAACTTTCTTACAGCGCAACTCCAGAAAAAGTATAGGACAGGGAAGGAGTAGAACAGAAGAAAAGACGGCGCTGACTCACAACTGTTGTTTATTGAAAAAAACGGGGTGAAAAGTATATATATAGGTACCGGCAGCCTACACCACAACATGCGCAGAATACGAGGTGCACCGAGGTAGCGTTATCACACTCATGCCAATAAACAAGCTTGGCCTAAATAACTTATTTCTTTTTCATGCAGTGTGACGGATGGTTCACTAACGCACTTGCTACCCCTAATCTTTATATGATATGCCTCAGCGATTTCTCTAGTTAGCTGGTTAGGACGCTTCAAAAATGGGACGACAGCCGCATGACCTGCAATGTTCCGGCAGATGAAGTCGCGCGATCCCTTGAAGAGATAACTCATGCTCCCTTAAACGAACATTCACACATCGTTTCGTTTGTCCCACGTACTCCCTGCCACACGATAATGGAGTTAAATACACAGCTTTTTTTACGCATGCGATGTACTTGTTTTTATGATTCACAGCACATCTTCCTTTGGCCTGTTTGTTCCTCAGCGCATTATCAACCATCGGGCAAATGCGACCTGCCTTATGTTTGGCGGAAAAAAGAACGTCGACACCATACCTTGAGCCTACGTTTTTCAGCCCATGCGCCCATTTGTGTATATAAGGAAAAACTGCTCTTTTTCTTTTTCCATCAGAATTTTCTTGTGCTCCTCTGTGTTTCACAAGCTTAACGCTCCGAACCATTGACTCACACACAGACGAAATCACCTTGTCAGGATACCCAGCATCTACTAAGCGTTTTACCTGGTTATTAAAAGCAGTATTCGACACATGCACACAGCGTTTCCTGAGCGATGCATTTAAAATTGTCTTTGCAATCGCTCTCTTCACAATCTTAGAATGGCCAGACTTGTAGTTTAAGATAGGCTTAACTGATCTTGGCTCATATTTCCAACACAAATGATCTTTACCAAAAGTTAGCTTTAGGTCCAGAAACTGTAGCTCGTAATCCTTAAAGACTTCGTGGGTGAAGGTGAGGCCTATACCATGTTCACTGAACAATTTAAGAGTCGACGATTTTGTAATTTTTTCCCACAATGACATTCACCATAAGGACATTGACCACATTCTTAAATTGACAGCCGTCATGCGGCTGTCGTCCCATTTTTGAAGCATCCTAACCAGCTAACTAGAGAAATCGCTGAGGCATATCATATAAAGATTAGGGGTAGCAAGTACGTTAGTGAACCATCCGTCACACTGCATGAAAAAGAAATAAGTTATTTAGGCCAAGCTTGTTTATTGGCATGAGTGTGATAACGCTATCTCGGTGCACCTCGTATTCTGCGCATGTTGTGGTGTAGGCTGCCGGTACCTATATATATACTTTTCACCCCGTTTTTTCCAATAAACAACAGTTGTGAGTCAGCGCCGTCTTTTTTTCTGTTCTACTCCTTCCCTGTCCTATATTTTTTTTGGTGTTGCGCTGTAAGAAAGTTCACGATGCGACGTACGTTCTAGAGTAATCTGTAATGTTCACGAAGTGGGCGTAATATTAACAGAATGATTTACTGCCATTCCGAAGCTTCTCGAACAGTGTAGGCATGGTTTGCGCTGTAAAATATTTACAGTGAAACGGGGTGATGACAAAACATGACAAGAGAATGTGGCATTTGGCATATGTCACGGGGTGGTGACGTAGACGAAGAGAGCAGACTGCAGGTCGTGTAATAAACTGTTTATTTGGACCGAACTTGGGCCACATAAAAGGAAAACAAGACGCTGGCACTGATAACGACAAGCAGAGCGTCGGCCGTCAATCAACTGACAAGCGGCGAAGCGTGTGGGCATTTATCACTTTCTATCGAATATTCTAGTGTTATCACTAGCGGGGACGTAGGTTCCAGAGTAATCTGTTTTGTTCACGAAGTGGGCGTAGTCTTAACAAAATGATCTTCTGCCGTCTTGAAGCTTCTCAGTGTAGGCATGTTTTGTGCTGTCAATTACCAACAGTGAAACGGGGTGATAACAAAACATGACAAGAGAATGTGGCAATATGCAGTTTGCCCCAGGTGATCATATGCTCCACTAACCTTGTTGCCGTGTAGGTCTCTCCGAAAAACTCTTGTCCCGCTACGGCTTTCCCTACCTAGTCTTACGTCAAGTTAGCGACATGAACTACGAGAGTGTGCCATTGCACTTTGATACGCCACCAAGTTCACGACCTTTGACAGGGTGCATGTTTCGCACATGAAACTATTTCTCTCGCACTTCTCCGGACTCTCACAGAGACGGCGCTCCAACGCGCGGGAGTCCTGCTATGGAGATGAAGTGAAGGAAGACGAAGGGCAGAAGGAGCTGACTGGCGCGCGAGTGTGTCAATCAGTCATCGTGGTTCTTGCCTGTGTTTTTCCTCTGTAAATTCATTGTACATAAGCCACCAACCCCGTAACATTATGCAGAGTCGTACCTTATTCACAAGTTTAGTACGCTTCAGCCAGCAGGTATAAATGTTTCAAAGGGGACTCTCGAGTTCATGCAATATGGTGCATACGCAACGAAAACCGATAAGTGTTGAGTGCCCCTTCCTCACATCACGCAGGCCAAATAATCATCTCAACTTCACCCGCATCTTTGGTAACAAAAAAGTATTTAATACATCAGCACTAACGCAAGCCATCTGCATGTGGAATGATCTTCCCGATGATATCGCCTCTGATAGTAAACCTAAAACGTTTCGACACCAAGTTGAGATTTTTTTTCAATATAGCGTTGTAAGTTATTTTCTCTTTCTCCTTTATCGTTTAACTTCCAAGCTCTTTAATGCTGTGAAGTGTTGCACGTTCTTTCGATTTTTGTGAACTGTTCAATTGGTGACTGAATGCACTCTTAATTTTTTTATGAAGCACTATAGCGTTGTTCTTGGTGTTTATTTCTGATTTTCACAGCAATCCCCCTTACTCAATACCTTTGGGCCTTAAAGTATTTTTCAATAAATAAATAAATCTAATAAACAAGTCTTTCTTCCAGGAATTTCTAACTTACCATTGTTATATGATGCTTTCTTCCAACAAGCATTACCCAGCAACACATAAACTGCATAAACTGCGTCTTTCGTTAAAGTTGTATGTGCTTGTGATTACCTTTATAATTTCGCATTCAGTTTTATGCCTTTTATAATATTTCTGTCACAAGTACTGGTATATTAAATGTGTTGTTCATCTTACCAAGTGTAAGTTAGCAGTGTTTATGGTATGTCTGCTAAATTTAATAATAACTATTAATATTTATAAAATGCTTAAACGATGCTTTAAACTAGGAGTCACATACAATGGTTTTCTGTTTTTTGGTGGCATTTGTTCTGCTTCAAAAACACTTATGGCTGCTTCATAGCAGCATCTTGTCTGCCCCAGAATCTACTTCAAGAAGCAAAATGTTGCTTCTATCTCTGAATAAGCTTTCTTTCTGAGACATCCCCATGGATTTTCTTTTGGCTGCCTGCTACAAATAGGTGGTTGTCCATTCGCCTTTGATATACTAATTTCAAGCATAAACTGTGCACCCAAGCAAGTGCAGAATATGTACAGCAATCTAGACAATTCATTCAGGCAGTGCAAAGGCTTGTCTACCAGGCTACACGATGTACTACTTTTTAATGACAATTTAATAACACGAATCTTGTACAAATTGTCAAAAGAATGTCAATTTGGTCACTATTATTTGTAGTCTTTCCATTTTTATGGGGATCTAATCGCACATTTTGTGTTTGTTAATCCCTTTTGTCTTTTCTCTTCTTTTTTTAAAATGGTCGACAACCAGTAGTTTGGGATACCTTGGCTTGTTAACCTAGAGGCAGCCTTGCTTATTAACTTCTCATATCTCATTGTTGGATCTCATTGTTGGTGGCATTGAACTGGGCAAAATTTTGCTTTTCATGTCAGCTTAATTGAACTGTAAAGTCAACACTATTTGGTGGCTTTCTTGAAGTTGTACAGCAACGTGCATATGTCCTTTTGATTGTAGGGTTTGCAATCTGAGGACCAGGGGGATAAGCCCAAGCATGTTCTGTTTGACGATGACGAGGATGATTTGTTCTCTTCTACCAAGTAAGTGAGCTTTTCCTTTATATTTGTTTAACCCTTCCTCTTCCTTCATTACGTCTCCCTTACTATAGTTTCCTACAGTATTTACTAGAAGAATTTCTGGCACACCAATTGTTCAGCCACCATGAGAATGATGACACAGATTGGCCTGATATTCGTGCATGGGACTTCAGGCAAACCTTTGTTATTTGTTTTAGAAAAAAAAATTATAAACTTTGTGGAGGTTAATGTTGTGAGGTGGAACATTTATAAACTTTGTGGAGGTTAAGGTTGTGAGGTGGAACATTTGCCGACATTTCTACAAAGCAGCTCCAGGCTACAATGCAATTGCCACTATGAAGCTGAGACCAAGCCATGTAGTACTATTCATCTTCGCCTTGCTGGCTCAAGTGCCATGCATTGTAGCTCATCTCTACTCCCTCCAGTGCAAGATTATTCTCTATGCCCCTTTTCCAGTGCAGGATAGCAAACCAGATAGTCCTGGTTAACCTTTCGTTCTCTTAAATATGATTTTACTAATTACTCAGAAAGAATTGTACTAGGAAACATAGTCATACTCAAGTAATCTGACAAAGGATTTGCTATCAGTCAGGGGAAAAAGATCTTTGCTTGGTCAGTAATATGGTATGCTATAACCTAGAATAAAGGGTCAGTTAAGCATCAAGACAGTGTGCATCTGCCTACACTATTCACGGCTTATAAGTGGAAATCCTAGTTTGGTCACATCAGGCCAGAACCAGGAAAACTGAGGCATGGAAATGTTTGGAGGCCTTTTACCCGGAAAAAAAAATTTTTCAATGATATCTCTGCTTCCAATTTAAAAGCAAGATGCATTTCATTACTAAATTTAATTGCCAGGTTATTATCGGTTTCACACAAGTTGTGAACTGAGGTGATTTAACGAACATTATGTATTCAGTAAAAGGAAGAAAATTATTATTCCTGTTGCTACTACACCTAAACCTCGATGTAAAGAATTATAGGCTCTAACGAAGTAAGCGACCAATAGCTTTACCATAGATACAGTGTTAAAAATAATCGTTTATAATAAATCTTCGTATATAACCAAGTATTTTTATGGAAGATGTGGGTTTGTTATAATGAGGTTTGAGTGTGTTATTTATTACTGTTTCTACTCTTTCAGGGAACGGCAATTAATCATTCTTGACTATAGTACCACGGTTCTGTAGCTTTCACAAATCATTTTTCTAGGTTGAGAAGACATGGCAGGGGAGACAGAAAAATGTACATTTGCATTCATATCAGTAGAGTCAGCTCCTAAGCCAGCACCTGCTGGATTGTCAGGCAATCGCAGTATTCTTAAGCTGCGAAATTTGGTACAGATGAAAAGTTTTGTGGCACTCCATTAACTACTTTTTAAAAAGTGCTTTTAAAACATGCGGTGGCTCTACTCCGATTTTCAGTTGCACTGCAGCGGTTGCACATTGTGGGAAAAAAAGTGATTGTAAGTGCTCTTAAGCCTGAACTGGCTGCACATGTTTCAGTGTCCAGAAACTTGATTTCTAAAAACACTTGAGGAAGCAAAGTGTATCGTATTTACTCGTGTAATTCTCGCACTCGCATAATTCTCGCACCCCCCACATCGCCCAACAAAAATATGATTTTTTTTTCTCGAGTAATTATCGCACCCCTGTGAATTGCCGCAATAATGTCGTCTGCTCGTTCCAGCTGTTGATGATGATAGCGCACGCCATCTGGCACCATCTCTTAAGCATTAAGCATACTATTATTGCACGGAGGTTTAATCCAATCCAAGCCAAGCCAAAGCGGCATGTGCACATTGCGGCGTGTTTTGATTGTTGTGTTGGTAATTTTGTCACGTTATGAAGCGATACTGAAGCTACACGGCTGCCTTCAAGTTGAAAGTGATTGATCATGCACTAAACAATGGCAATAGGGTCGCCACTAGGCCCTTTGGAGTTGACGAGTTTTCTGTTCCCTGCTGGTCACGGCAGCTGAAAACCACCAAGACTCGTTGGGCCTGCCGTGTGCATGAGACTGGAATTGATGGTAAACTTTATTTCTTCAGAAGGAAACTGTGGACGATTCTGTTAAATAGCCATCAGTCCAATACTAACATCCTACGCTTATCATTTGAGGGCGCCTGTTGATGACGACCGCTTCTGCAATGCTCGCAATGCCCACAAGCTTTGCGTATGATGTTCTAATTCTCGACTATATGCTTGCACTTTTTGTGTCTCAAATAAATCTTGCCTTGTTTTGATCCTCTGCTTTTATTGATGAGGTAAATTTTAATTAGTACCACTCAAAGCTTGCTGTTAGTTGCTAGTGTGAGAATCTCAATTTGCAGCCACTTCATTTTCTTTTTCGCTCTACGTTTTCGTGGAAAGTTTTCCCCGCGTAATTTTCGCACCCCCCAACTTTTCATCAGTTTTCCGCCAAAAAAAGTGCGAGTATTATGCAAGTAAATACGGTATCTAACCAACATGAACATTTGGTAAATCAGTTCTGAGGAATCCTGATATGGTGGCTTTGTAAGGCAAGGAAAGTTCGCACAGCTTGCAGAAAGGCTGGGTCACTGCAGGACTCGTGGATGAAGGTAACAAGGAGAGCAAATGCTGTTTCATGAAGATGATGTGCCACATACCAAACTATACTCTTTTAACTGCAAGAAAAAAATCATTTCACCCCCGTACTATGATAAACGGGTATGCACCACAGAAATTTAGTTAACCCCCTGCTCACCACTGGTCCACAAGAAATGGAGAAGGCAACAGTTAGCCCTGCAAACGGGTAGGGATCACAGAAAATTGTGTGGCCTATAAGAAAACCATCCTCATTATAAATGGGTATGTGCCTGTGATGCAGGTTTGCAGTTAACTAAATCATTGCTTAGAGAGAAAGCCTCAGAGCTAAGAAATGACGGAGCAGTTTGAAATAAAAACAAGAAAAGTAGAAATTTTAAGCATAATGAAGGAAAAAAGAGATAGTTACAAAGTACACCCTGAGCCTAAGCTGACAAAGTAAAACGTGTCCTATACGTTATCCCGCTATAATGTTTGTTAAAATACATAGTCCCCAGTGGCGTTGACGGCAGTGGTGGCTCGGTGGCTTGAGGCAGCCGACGCTGGCGATGTCTCAGCGGCTGGAGTCATGTGCTGACCAGCACGTCGATGCTTGGTGGAAGACGAGGTAGTTCTTGCTCTCGCAAAAACTGTGGCTGCTTTCCAAAACTCGCTCATTTCGAGGAGACCAACGCCACCCGGAAGATTCCGCCCTCCAGGGGTGGTTTGGGACCATAGTCGAGGCTCAGACACCTGGGACGTGACCTTCAACAGTCACGGCCTGAATACTGGAAGGCTGTGTACCTCAGAGTTCACCCTGGGCAGATTGAGCATCCTGGCCTTGTCTGCCTTCACACTTTCGGGTTCGGAACCAGACACCAAAGTCGCGCTACACCATTGGATCTTCTCTCCAGCCTGCTTGACACCATTCTGTCCTCAACTCATTTTTGACTGTCTCGTCTTCCTTTTAGGGGCGAAGCTCCTGTTAGTCTAACGTTGTCTTTCATCAGGCGTAACTGGCAGTATCAGACAGACAGACAAACAGATAGACTGACTGGCGGACGGAGAGATGGACGTACAGATTAACGGACAGACTGAAGCCTGGATGGAAGCACGGACGGACCCACAGACGGTTAAGATGGGTAGACGGATGGATTGATGCACGGACAGACGGTTGACAGACTGACACACAGATGGACAGACAGACAAACTTGCAGACAGGTGGACGCTTCGCCCCACTCATCATCATTCACTCCGTGGATATGCTGTGATTTTTTATTGCTTGTGCCTTCTTCCCGTTTGTTTTCATAAGGGCCTTGGGCATGCAAACTTTTGCACGAACTTTCTCTTCTTTCAACGGGCCGTAGTTTAATGCGTGACATTTTGCACCAACGTCATCGCCTCTCTGCCGCTCAATTGAGAAGCATTTCTGCCGTCACTTTCGAGCACGTTGTACACAACACCACGGTGCCACCACACTTCACAAACATCATTGTTTCATTATACTAAACCACTACACCGCAATGGGCCCCTTTATGGGAAAGTTTTTATGCACAAAAACTGCTGCTCAGTTCTTGGATGAAGTCACTCATAAAAAAATACAGAAGGCCGAAAGCCGAAGTTGTCCAGTTGCATTATGTCAGCGGTTTACTGCACTGTGCGGTTTACTGCAGAGATGTAATCTCATCGTGGTTAAATATTGCACCAGTGTGTAGTCACTGAATTCGGTTCATGTAATCTGCCCCAAGATTTTCAGAGCTCTTGATGTGCTCTATGTGGAATTCATATTCCTGCAGGGCCAAACTCATAAACACTCTGCTGTGGAGATGTTTTGTCTGTGACAAATATTTTAAGGGTTGACGATCAGTCTGGACAATAATAGGATTCCATATAAATATATGAAACTTTTCTGTTGCCCACAAAAGAGCTGAACACTTGCGCTGTGTCGCCGAGTACTTCTATTCTCAAGGTAATAACTGCCGGCTAGCATATAAGACTGGGCGCAATGCACACACTCATGCTCTTGCATAACGACTGCACCTATGCAAGTATCAGAAGCATCACTGTGTAGTATGACAGGTCGTTTGAGATTCGGAGCCTTGACAATAAATACTTGCATGAGCGCCTTCTTCAGGATTGCCAAGGTGGCTTCTCTTTCGTTGTTTCAAGTGACCTTATTGCTTTCTTTTTTTCTCGGTCATTTTGGTTAGGGGCGAAACCGTCACTGCGTAATGGGGTATCAAATCACGGTGATACCCTGTCAGACCGAGGAAAGAGAGAAGTTGTTTCTTGGTCTCCGGTTGCGAAACTTTTCCTATCATGTAAATCGTGTCTTCTACTGGTTCAATAATTATGGAGGCGGAAATGTTGTAGGCCCGTGTGCTCAGATTTGGGTGCACGTTAAAGAACCCCAGGTGGTCTAAATTCCCGGAGCCCTCCACTACGGCGTCTCTCATAATCATATAGTGGTTTTGGGACGTTAAACCCCACATATCAATCAATACTGGTTCAATAATTGCTTCTCCAAGTCTATGATTAAGGGAAACTACTGGCGTCATGTCAACTGCCCTCTTCTTTAGTTTCTCTTTCTTCTCTTCGGTTTCTCTCTTTTTACTTCTCTCGCCTGCCATCTTCCTTTTTGTCTGTTGCTGCCCTATATTTGGTCTCTCTCTCTCTGTTCTTTCGGCTGCTATCTTACTTTTTTTCTGTTGCTTCCTTTTTTTACTGTCTCTCTCTCTTTACTTATTCTCTCACCTGCTAACTTCTTTTTTTTTTTCTCTCGATTTCCCTTATTTCGGTCCCGCTCTTATTACTTCTCTCACCTGCGGTCTTATTTAATTTGTTGCTTCCCTTTCTCTCTGTCTCTCTCGTTCTCTCTCCTGCTGACTTCTTTTTTTCTGTTGCTTCACTTTCTTTTTGTTTCTCTCTCTTTACTTGTTCTCTCACCTGCCAGCTTCTTTTTTTCTGTTGCTTCCGTGTCTTTTTGTCTCTTTTCCTCTCACTTGCTAACTTCTTTTTTCTGTTGCTTCACTTTCTTTCTGTCTCTCTCTCTTTACTTGTTCTCTCACCTGCTAACTTATTTTTTTCTGTTACTTCTATTTGTTTCTATCTCTCTTTCTGTACATGTTTCCGGACCTGCTTTTTCTTTCCGTTTCTTCCCTTTCTTTTCTTCTCTCTCTCTTGTTCTCTCACCTGTCAACTTCTTTTATCAGTTGCTTCCCTGTCTTTTTGTCTTTCTTGTTCTCTCACCTGCGATTTTCTTTTTTTTTCTGTTGCTTCAATTTCTTTCTGTCTCTTTCTCTTGTTCTCTAACCTGCCATCTTTTTTTCTGTTGCTTTACTTTCTTTGTCTCTCTCAATACTTGTTTCTACACCTGCTTATTTTCTGTTACTTCCCTAGATAAGGGCTTCTTTGTTCATTATATGTATTCTTACAAGAGATCGCAACTTCATAAACAATGTTGGCTGTGCATACCATCAAAGGTCTTGCATGTACATGGCGGCTTCTTGGGCCCTTCTCGGTTGACACACCTACAAAGTCCTCCCAGCTTGTCTGTGTGTTCCTTTGCTGGTCTTGCATCTCTCTTGCGCTGTTCTTCTTGCTCGAAAGTATTGAAAATCTATTTAACTTCGAGACCCAGGCAGTGAAGCAGGAAGTAGCTGAACACTTGTCAGACCCAGGTGTAAGCAGGAAGTTAGGAACAAGCAAAACCACAGCTGTGCCAAGGTGTCGCTGGTGTGCCTGGAGTCTCGAGGAATGATGCTGGTGGCGATCTCCCAGTGAACATCCTTGACACCAATGTGGTGTTGTGCCCCGCTGCGTTGGTCTAGTGGCTAAGGTACTCGGCTGCTGACCCGCAGGTCGCGGGATCAAATCTCGGCTGTGGCGGCTGCATTTCCGATGGAGGCGGAAATGTTGTAGGCTCGTGTGCTCAGATTTGGGTGTATGTTAAAGAACCCCAGGTGGTCGAAATTTCCGGAGCCCTCCACTACGGCGTCTCTCATAATCATATGGTGGTTTTGGGACGTTAAACCCCACAAATCAATCAATGTTGTGTTGTGGCACGAAGGGCCACCAGTCAAATAGTTAAAAACTTGGGTTCATGAACATTGACGGCTGACATTATTGGCACTTATAGACATGGCATTACAGCTACATGTCTTAGTGCCATGTCTGATAGCATCACTCAAATGCCAATGTACAGCAGTCACACACATAAAGGTTGGAAAAGATCATATGGTAGTGTAAGTTATAAGGGGTCAACCAATAAGAAGCCACATACGTAGATATATGGGATGAGTTTACTGATGTCTACAATGATAAAGCAAAGTGTTCTCAAATAGCTCGTGGACCAGGCTTATTATTGTCTATCCCTACTCTGTTCTATTACAAGATCAAAGGTGTTTACTCTGAAAAGTGACCCTACTTTTGTGGCATCTGTTGGGACATGTTGAGCTGTGGGAAATGCGTGCGGAGCGCATGCATGTGCAGTGTACAATCTCTTCTCTGTCGTGCTCAGCTCCCAAAGTTTGCAGCATGTAATGAATTTAAGAACAGCACAGATGAGGAATGGTGAACATCATTTGCACAGATGAGGAATGGTGAACATCATTTGTTCTACTGTGAAGAGAGATTGTGCATCTCAGTCAACTTTAAAATTTTTCCTCAGTGCAATTGACACATGACAAGCAATTTATTTTATAGTCAATGACGCAATTGATAACTGCACCCTCTCCTGCAGATGCCCCACACCATAGATGCATGTCTACAGTGGAACTCCTTTATAAGAGACACTGAAAAAAAGAGACAAATGGTACACATCACAAGCGATTTTTATTCATTCACTTTATTACCTCAAAGATCCCAGTTTGGATATTATATATGAGAGAGTGGGTGTCGATGACAGTGGAGGCTTCGGTGGGCAGGTCATTCCAGTCTCTGCCTGTGTGCAGCAAAAGCGATTGGTGAAAGGTGATAGTATGGGCTTGCACTAGATAGACAGTGTTACAGTAACTGGAGTGGGAAACGCGATGGGCTTATCTGATGTATGGGTTATCTAAAGGCAAAGAATGGAAGAAATCATAGTAAAGGGTAAGACTTGCAATTTTGCGGCCTTTAGCCAGATTGGATAAGCTAATCTTTGCTTTTAGTTACGAGATGCTTGAGGTGTACGAATAGTTAGTATGAATGGCGTTATTGCATGGTTCAGGACAGACTCGAGAGCGTTAATGAGGTTATTGTGGTGAGGATCGTAAATCGCATGCGCATACTCTAGCTTTGGTCGAACAAAGGCTTTGAAGGCAACTTTTTTAATAGAAGAGGGAGCGAGCGAAAGGTTATCGTTGAAGTACCCTAGAGTATGATTAGCAAACTTTATGATGTGGTTAATAGGACAGGTCCAAGTTAGGTCATGCGAGATGGTCACACCAAGGTAGTTAAACGAATCAACTGTAGAAATCTGGTTGTTATGGAATTGTAGGTATAAACAATATGACAATGACGACCGTGTGTAGACATTAACACAGTTTTAGAAACATTCAAGGACATGAGCCAAAATTTACACCAGTTCGGTATGCGGGTGAGATCACTCTGTAATTGGAATAATCGGATGAATTAGTAATTGCACAGTAAACAACACAATCATCGGTGAATAGATGGATGTGAGAGTAAATGTTTGAGGGGAGGTCATTAATGTATATTAAGAAGAGGAGGGGACCAAGTATACGGTACTTTGCGATACACCTGAAAGAACAGGTGTTAGAGATGAAGAGTTTTAGTTGGCATGAACGAATTGCTGACAGATGGTTGAAAAGCCTCGAATCCAGTTTAAAACGCAGGGTTGGATGTTAATGCAGGATAGTTTTAATAAAAGACGACCACAGAGAACCTTGTCGAACACCTTCTCAGAATCTAAAAATGTTGTGTCAGTCGGAATGTTGCGGTTTATTTTATAGTCAATGACAGGATTGTTAACTGCACCCTCTCCTACACATGCCCCCACTCCATAGGTGTGTGTCTGCTGTTGAACTCCTTTATGAGAGACACTGATGTAAGAGAGGAATGGTACATATGACAAGTGATTTATTTTATAGTCAGTGACACGATTGTTAACTGCATCCTCTTCTATACATGCCCCCACTCCATAGATATGTGTCTATTAATTCACTTTACTAGGACATGTTATTGAAAGTTGGCACTGTGTGTTCTTTGCCCATCGTCTGTTGTCCTGTTGTTACATTCATTGTGTGCTACCAGAATGCCCTAGTTTCCACCCTTCATTGCAGCATGTGTTGTGTGAACGATATTGCAATCGCTGCCTAATGAAAAATTATTATGAATTTTTCGTGCTATTTTTCGCTTTACTACTTCGTGATGAGACTCTCAGACCAGTATCTTTCTGTTGCACTGAAGAAAACAGGCACCATAAAATTGGTTAGCAGTCCTTTTACAATTTTGGACCAGTAATGAAATGCATTGCATACTATTCTAAAATAATATTTCTTTGTGTTTCTTGTCTGTGTCGAATTGATTTTTAAGCCTGATATCTTAGAGGGCCTATTTGTGCTCGTTTTCAGTGCTGCTGCACAGAGTGAAAGCAAGCCAGCGGAGTCCTTGTTCAGTGATGACAAGGAGGACAGCTTTGTGAACACTGCGCTGCCTGTCACCAGGGACCAGCAAAGCAAGCCCTTTTTGAATAGTGCAAGGAAATGGCAAGTTGTGGCTGCTGTGTTACTCTGTCATATCACTAATTGCTGTACTAGTCACTTTTCTTGGATGTTAATCGTGCCATAGGAGGTGTTGGGTGGGTTTATTTCAAGTGAAGTAAAGGAAAAGACAGTCTCAAGGTTACTGTGAAGTAGTCTTTTTGTCCACTTTACTCTTTTCTCTCCAAAATTACTGCAAAAGACTTGAAACAGTACAATGAATGCCCCCTTTGTTAGCTGCTTTTCGTGAAGGTTGTGTCAAAAAGTAGACACAAATGTTCTTCCTTCATTCTCTTCTAATTACGTGCATTTTACAAATGTTGCTAAAAGGCTGCCATGCAACATGTCTTGGATAAGCTGCGCTAGTTCCCCAGCCATGGTTTTACGCTGGCATAGTTGGCATCACACATCCCTTGGGGGAGGAAGCATGACTTTTTTTTTTTTTTATGAAATATAGCCATGCGCACAAAAGGGGCCCCCAATAAAAGAACATAAGTGATGTCATAGCTCCACAAAACTGTGCCAAGAGTGAACACTTGCTATATGCTGCTACATTTGAGCCCAAATGGCATAAATTGCACCAAGTGTGCGCCACGGCATGATTTTTGCAGCTTTTTGAAGAAAACAGTACAGCAGGCATTCTATATAAATAATTACTGATGAAAATGATGTTTTTGTGTGCAAGGTCTTTTCCCAGCAGCTGAGGTAATAGAAACAAGACGGCCAATTGTATCTGCGACTACAGAAATAGTTTTTCTCATGTTCTCAGCCATTATTGCCGGCAGCAGTGGCACTTAACAGCTCAAAAAGCCAACGTAGAGTGCATGTTCATTGGTGTAGGCTTGTGTGCTTTTACTTTTGACTTCTGTGCTGAAATTCTGCAGTCCTATCAAATTGATAGCGCGTGCCAGAAAAATCCAAGCAGAAGATGACAACGACACACCAAGCACAAGAGGCACCTGTTTTTGTTCGTGTCTGACTATATGGCTTTAAACGAAATATGCGGTTTGTAGGTCTCACAGCATCGACGTCTGTCTGCCTGTTACCACAGAATCAATTCAGCAATTATAGCTTTCAATAATTCCTCAATAGAGGAGGGGGAGGGTTGTGTGCCCCCTGTCAAGCTGTGCCAAGTACTCATAGAGCGAGGGAGTAACAGCGAGAGCACACACACCCACAAGACACACTAACGCGGACTTGCAACTGATTTTTATAAGAGAATGAAACACATGCTAGAGTGAAACATGAAAGATAGGAATAGATAACAAGATAGTTTTAGTTTCTGTGCACAGTGCCAATGACACCAAAAGCCAGGCAAAGAATAATCGAAACAAACATGTAATCTTTCATTTTTTCTTAAACTCACGAGCAGACGAAACTTGGCCTCAAGGAGTGTAAGAAATGGGGCAGTAACGCGCTTGTTATCAAGTTTCATACTGTGATATGCTTCTAAAAATGATACGTGTGCAGTCTGGTCATCACTCCTACCTAAAATCGGCATGCCTTCAAAACCAGGCCACACATCCTGTGCACTTACCAATATGCCCCAGCTAAGTATGCATTCTAATCGTCCAGCTTTTGCAATTTTAGTGCCTGTTCCCTCCAAACAGTCATTGACACAGCAACCGGCTTCTCCAACGCTGAACAGCTTACGTGACATGGGAGTAAAATACACCACTCCAGTCGAACACTTAAAGAGCCAGTAAACAACCCCAAGGTGTAAATATTGTTGTAAAGAGAAATATGTGCCCTTTTACTTCGTGAACATGCTGCTGTAAGAATTTTGTGAATACGTGCTATATTAAGGGAGTTGCAGGGGCTAGAACATCGCTTTCAGCTGGTTTCAAATTTTTGCGTGGCCTCGCCACCCTTCTCATTCAGAGGGGGGAGGGCAAGGTGTAGCCCATCGTTGGGCACCCAGTTCGGCAATGTGACAAAACCTCAGCAATTGATGTCATCGGCAAACTTGATCAGTCACAACGCATTTCGGCTTGCTGCGATGCTTGGTTGTCTACAGTTTAGCCAGTGCCAATGCTTCCCCGCAGCCCAGTCGCTCGATTTGCAGCCAACAATGATTTGCAGCAAAACTGTGTTCCCAAAACCCGTACACGAAGTTGGCCCGATTTTTTGGAAACAGATTGGCCATCTGAAAGCAGCAACACAAATAATGCATTTACCGTATTTACTCGCGTAATTAACACATTTGCATAATAAATCCACTCTCAACTTCAGTCATCAAAATTTGTATTTCTTTTTTCACGTAATTAACACACCTCCTACATTCATCCGCTGCACTCCCGCTAACCAACACCTGGCGCCTTCTCACCCTATGGATCTCTTCCGTTTTTCATTATTTTGCGACCCCCCCCCCCCCCTTGTCGTTTGCTGCCGTGCGCTGTATAGTTTTTCTTTTTATCTGTGTGCGGCATGTTTCCCGTCTTATCTGTGCTCCACATTGGGGTTTATGAACGGTGCGAGTGTAAGAGACATCGCTGCTGATAAGCACACAGAGAGCAAAGGTCACGCAACTGCCTGCGCTAACCGAACAAACGAAGGTAGCTTCCTGCGAATACGAAAAAGCCCAACCATGGGCACGCGATTTTTGAGCGACGACGACATGAATTGCTGTCGCGAAGGGTCATTCATCGCTTTCGCATCACAGGTTTCTAGAAAAAAAAAAAAATGTTTGTAGTCCAGAAAATATCGTGACGATTTCTGCAACATGGTAGCACCCATCATTTCTCGCTTACTGATTGTTGGCCTAGTTGGTACTTGCTTACTGACATGATTTGGCCACAAATAATACACACACAAAGTAAAGAAACACTCAACGACAAGCACAAGCTGCTTGTGCTTGTCGTTGAGGGTTTTTTTACTTTGTGTGTGTATTATTTGTGGCCAAATCATGTCAATTTCTCGCTTCTCTTGTTATCCGTGCATAGAGGAACTTCTCATGTAGAAGCGAGGCGGCGGCTGTATTTTGTCATTAATCTTGTTATCGACGGTATGTTTTGATGCTTTGGTAGTTAGTTGGTACAATGTTTATTACTTGCTACAATGCGGGTTACTTGCTACAACGTTAACGGTGTCATCACGGTCGTTGTGCGAGATTGCCGCGAAGTTGGCAAAGTGCGTCGTAGTGCATGCTTTTGGGTGCCCCTTGATATCAGACCAGATACCCCTGTTGTGGTTAGGCGATTGTGAGAAAAGATAGCCCCAAAACACTTTTACGGCGTGCGCGGGCGGCTCGTGGACAGCTTGCAGAAGATAGCACCATCAACCACCGAAAATGAGTAAAGTGCAATAAAGAAGCTGTTTCAAAACAGTGTATGCATATGTCAACTGCAAAAGGCTAAGCGACGCTGTTTCCAAACAGTGTATGCATATGTCAACTGCAAAAGGCTAAGCGACTTAACTTTTTTTTTTGCATTACCACATTTGTCGCTCCTCCCGAAGAAGTTTTCATACAATTTACCCCACGTAATAAAAACACACCCCAACTTTGCTCCGATTTTTCTAAAAAGAAAGTGCGTTCATTACGTAAGTAAATATGGTAATAGTGGGTGTGCTGATCAACAGGTGGCCTGTAAATCTGCTCACTCCCAAAAACTCGGCCAGTCACGTGTCTCGATTTCGAAACATAGAGCCTATGGGAAGTTTCGCAACTCGTATGATTGAATAGCTCTGTTGTAGCTGTAGATGGAAACAAGAACTGTTGTTGATTTTACTACTGTTTGTTGAGACCTGGTTTAGACCAATCGACGAGCTGTGTGGTGCGTCACGTCGCCGATAGCCGAGTTGTCGTCACTGCGTGTGGAAGAAGCATTGGTCAGGCTTAGGAAAGGAGCGCAGGAATCGTTTTTTGAAATAAAGAGCAGCTCTGTAATATTCAGAAAGCGTGATTGCAGTGGTCTACTCTACAAATTACCGAGCTTGTTTGGGGGGTGTAAATCTGAGCCTGTTGATTGGCCCTTTAAAGGACTGTACTTCGTGCTTTTTCTGGCATTCACTGACGTTGTAAATACATAGGCACAGCTTTCCCAGCATATTGGCGGTCGAGAAATAGATAGGAACTCCACGCCTACTGGCTACTTCTTCAGGTTGTGGGAAAGCTTATGAACGTATGCCATCACCTCTGGCTTTAAGGCCTTTCCAATAGTGACGTTGCATATGTTCTCAAAAGGTAGACGAAAACACTATGATGTCGTCGAGGTAGTATAAGCAGGTTTTCCACTTCAGGCCATGCACTACGCTATTGATCATACGTTTGAAGTTAGCAGGTGCGTTACAAAGTCCGAAAGGCATTACGTTAAATTCATATAACCCATCTGGGGTGGTAAAAGCCATCTTCTCTTTGTCAGATTCGGACACTGGTATTTGCCAGTAGCCCGATCGCAGGTCAAGGCTGGAAAAATACTCTGCGCTATGCAACGAATTTAGTGCGTCATCGATTTGTGGGAGAGGTTAAACATCTTTGCGCGTTATTTTGTTCAGTGCCCAGTAATCAACACAAAAATGTACTGTTCCGTCTTTCTTTTGCATCAAAACAACTGGCGAAGACCATGGACTCGAGGAAGGATGTATGATATTCCGTCGAAGCATGTCTGAGATGTTTTGCTCGATTATCTTCCTTTCTGCAAGAGACACACATTATGGGCACCAGTGAATAATTTGGGAACCGTCAGTCTGAATTCGGTGAGTCGCTGAAGTTGTCATACCAGAATGAACGTCAAACAAAGGGAGATGTCTGTTCAATAAATTTAGCAATTCTTGACTCTGGGCTGCTGTCAGATCAGGGCTTATCGTCACCGGTAGAGGAGTGGGAGAGTTGAGTGGCAGCGCGCTTGACTGTGGTAAGTCTCCTTGACTTGAAAGGGCAATAATTGCAACGGGATGCGGGTCAATAGCGCATGTGACTGTTGATCCACAGGGCAATAATAAAGGTTCGGGGGTCTGATTTAACGCAGTAATAAAAGCAGACCCTTCAGAAAAACAGACAATGCCTG